ACGGCTTCGATATATAGCTCCGAGCAGACTCTGGGCGAAGCCATTAAGGAAGCTCTCGAACTTGGCCTTGTTGATTCCAAAGACCAGCTCTTCATCATTTCAAAGCTATGGTGCAATGATGCTCACCCTGATGCGTCTTTGATGCTGGGTTTATTGCCTCACTTCCCTCGTTGAAGCTTTGGTCCGCCAAGACCTGAGTGTTGCTCTATTTTCAAGAATGAGCCAACACCAACTGTAGCAATAATGGTTGAACTTCCAAGTCAAGTGGAAGAAGATGAGGGCTATGATGCTAGCAATTTTCAACATGGCAAAAAATGATGTGCTGTTGCATGGTGAGCAGCAAATTCGTCATCATACAAGGCACGTGGAGGAAAGAGTTTTAAGTGGCAATGACCACCGACTGAAGCATGACACTGAAATTAAGGTGTTGTTAGACGGTGAATCGCAGGCAGGAAATTAGCAAGGACGCATGGATGAAGCAGCTGTGAATGGCAGTAACCACCGACTGGAGTCAACAGTTTTGGCAGTCGGTAATGTTCCACCGTTTTGAGGAAATCAAACAGATGGGTTCTGCTACAATACACCGTGTACCAACCTTTGGCCACCAGAGACAGGTGTCGGTGGGGTTATTTTCTGCTCAAATGGAATTGGCTCTATTTTATGAAAGTCGACATGGTCAGTAGACAGACGAGGGACAAGCTTTCAGGTACCACACTGTGGAGGCATGGGAGAGATCAAGAAAAGCAAAAGATAGCCTTACAACAATGTTTTCTCAACCCATTATCTGCGAGAGCACATGGGAAAGCAAAAGCAAAGCAAACGTAATGGAAAGCAAAAAGGAAAAGAGAAAAGAAAGAATTATGCTTTCTTTGGTTGAAAGCTGAAGCAAGTTGGTGTTTTCTTCAGTTTGTCGACCACCCACAGAAAAGCTATGGATAGCAGGCACGCAAATCTACAAAAGCAAGGAATAAACCCCCACCAGAATGATGTGATTCACTTTTTTTTTTTTGATAAATGTATGATGTAATTTATTTTTCTTATCTTTCGAAAACATCTGTATAAACTCCATCAGAGGGTAATAAAAAAAAAGTGCAAAGACCAAAGTAAATGGGCTGGAATGTTGTGTAGGGGGCGAAGGCCCATGCGCCCAAAATAGCTCCAAGTAGGCTATCAAAAATACGTCCAGTACTCCACAATTATTCGACAACCTGCCGCTATTACCACCAACCAGGTGATCAAAAGTACGCCCAGTACTCCACAATTATTCGGCAACCTGCCACTATTACCACCAACCAGGTGATCAAAAGTACGTCTAGTACTCCAAAATTATTCGGCAACCTGCCGCTATTACCACCAACCAGGTGATCAAAAGTACATCCAGTACTCCCAAATTATACATGAGCATTACTCATGTCAATCATACATAAACATTCATGAGCATTACTCATATCAATCATACATAAACATTCATGAGCATCACTTCATAAGTATCACTCATGTCAACATCCATAAGCATCACTCATATCAATCAACAAACATTCATGAGCATCACTCATGTCAATTAGCTTCAAAAGCTTCATTTACAACAGCTCTAGCTTCAAAAACTTCATTTACAAAAGCTCTAGCTTCAAAAGCTTCATCTACAGAGCTCTAGCTTCAAAAGCTTCATTTACAAAAGCTCTAGCTTCAAAAGCTTCATTTACAGAGCTCCAGCTTCAAAGCTTCACTTGCAAAGTTTCACCTACAAAGCTCAAGTGCAGGGTATACAAATACCGCCTCCGTAATGTGATAAAAGTTAACACACAAATTAAACCCTCTTGTTGACAATTGTAGTAGAGATGCAAGTAGGGATGGTTCTAAACCGGGGATTAGTAGAGATTGCTAAAACACTTGAAACTGACTAAAAAACATAAAACTAAGTTTAAAACCCTAAACTAGATTAAAAAAGACTCAATATAAACTCACAAGACTCAAAACTAACTAGAAAGACTCAAAACAGCACAAAACAATGAAATAGACACTAAACTGACTCTAGGGAGTTATTTGGACGAAATTAGGTTTTAGCTTGACTCAAGACACTTAACAACACAACTCAAAACAGATTTTAACTAATCTAACACTTCAAAGTAAATGGGGATTTGATTTTGACGAATTTGAAAACAAAACAAACAAATTGTAAACTAAAATAGATTTTGGACGAATCTGGGGAATAAGGTGGATGATGGGCTAGCTAGAGGGTTCTTCTCCACACATGACACACTTGCACATAAACCAATTTTCAGTTGTTCTTTCAACAAACTATGAAACTCAACACCTCAGGTTAATTAGGTCCACTTAAATTAACCTTCAAGTTCTCCTTAAGTTATTGAATTGGATGATTGCATACAACAATTCAAAACATTCTCTAAAAGTTCCCTACGTGAATTGCACAATAGAGACACAATCAAAGATCATTAAGCATCAAGAAAACTATAAGTATTGACGAGGCAATTGTAACTATGATGAGCATGAAACTCTTGCCAAGAATTCATTTAACGCAATCATTTATAAGCGACCTTCACTATTTGTGAATATATGTTTGTAACTATTAGGTGAAACTCCCTTATATTCTAGCATCATATTCATGCATGCAAACTAAGTATGCATCCTTAATAAAAAAACATGAATAAGTTATCAATCAAACAGTTAAACAAATTGAATTCACAATTTATGAAATACAACCAAAGGTAATAAATTCATATTGCAAGCATGTTCATGGCTTTGAATCTCCCCCTAGCCAAAAAGGGTTTAGTTCCTCATAATCGCAAAGCAAAGATAAACATATTTATTCATTGAAAACAAAAGAAAGAAAACACCTAGACGCTCCAACGCTCCAAACTAAACAGCAAGCACGTCCACGAACTTTCCTCATTCCTCCTTGTTGCTGCACAAGGTCTAGGGACAGGCTTTGGGGGTTATGAATGGTGTAGAAGGATGGGGTTAAGGCTAGGATAAGTGTATGGTGCGGCAGGGGTTGTTTTAGGTCAGAAACTATGGAGAATGGTGAGGGATGGCTGCAACAAAGAGGGAAAAAGGGTTTCTGGCATGAATTGTGAATATGGGAGGTGTGTGTTGCGGCATAGAGTTAATATGAATATATATAGGGACATAAAACCTTAGGGAAATCAGATTAGGCCTTGGACTTGGCAGAAAATAAGGATTAGGGCCCAAACAATTAGAATTCAAAGGGGAAAAGGCTTAAAAGGTGCGGCAGATATGTAGGAAAGAGATTGGGCTTCTAGAATGCCTTGCAAGGCAAGGAAAAAGGTTTCTAGAAGGGCTTAGGTTTGGCAAAGGTCCTAAATCTGAAAGGGATTGGTTTTCTTGTGCAACAAGGATAGGAAATGAAGGGATAGGGCTTCTAGAAACCCACAAACCCAAGGAGATGAACGACAAGGATAGGGAAGTGTTCTAGAACCTTTCTTTGTGTCAAAAAATGCTTAGGAAACCTTCGATGTTGCTGGAACTTAAGGCCATCTAGGTTTAGGAAAGATCAACCCAAAATAGGAAACTTTAAGCTTAACTTTCCTACTTCAAGTAGGAAACCATGTTTGAGTAGGAATCTTCATTCTTCTAGGAATCCATCTTCAACTAGGAATCTTTCGTTGATTAGGAATTCGTCGTCAATTAGGACTCCTTAAATCTTCAAATCTTCAATTTCATCCATTCCTTTTGTTCCAAGCATGTGCTATTCAATCCAAGCTCACTTTTGCTCCAAAAGGCTCCAAAATGCACTTCTTTGCATACTTTGTCCTTAAAACCTGAAAACACACGAAAATGGCTTAAAAGACTAACTTAACCAAGAAAACACAACGTAAATGCACAAGAACAAGCTAACTAAGTCGCATAAATATGCTCATATCACTCCGAACAACCGCTACTTCGGCCCATACACGGATTCAATTTGAAGTCTCTAGCCAACAGACTTTATTAACCGAAGACTTGGGGGACTACATCATGTACCATATATTGGGCCTCAACTGGGCCTCATGAAAAAATACTTGGGGAACTTAGCCCATTATTTATGTACTGAAGAGCGAGCCCTTATTTTATAAAAGGGACTCCCTTACCTTCATTAGATAGCATCACCGCCAGCTGAGCAACCACCTCGCCGCGAGCACCAACTCTAACCCATCATTTTTGTAAAGATGAGCAAGCCCTTATTCTATAAAAGGGACTCTCACACCTTCAAACGCCACAAGCCGAGCCAACCAAGGCAACATAAGCCACAAGCAGAGCAACCTCGCAACATGTGCTACTTCCAGTTGAGCATCATTTCAGATTGAGCATCGCCTCATATCGAGCATCAGTTCAAGACAACATCTAGTTACTTCGGCCCACACATGGACTGAATTTTAAAGTCTCCAGCCAAAAGACTCTCTTGACTAAAGACTTGTGGGACTACTATTTATACCATATTTAGGGCCTCCGTATTTAGATCTCGTACAAATACTCATGGGACTTAAATGTAATTATGTAATAAAGGAATGGGCAAATATGTAATAAGTGAGGAGCCCTTATTCTATAAAAGGACTTCTCACCCTCACAATTAGGAGAAGCCAATTTCTTAGGCCATGGAAGGGCTCTCTCACCCTTAGAAGCTCTCTCCATCTCTCTCCCTCACAAACAGAAAAATACAATAATCAGTGTGGACGTAGCCCAAACCTTGAGGTGAACCACGATACATCTTGTGTTATTTACATTTCATGCAGATTCACGGTCAGATTTACGTTGTTCCAAGACTTTCGATTTTGTGCATCAACATTTGGCGCCGTCTGTGGGAAACGACACGAAAATCTGTATCGGTTCTCTTTCATTTTTTTCACCTCTGCCGTGAATTTGCGCTAGCTTTCATTTTCTGATTTCTGTTAGGACCAGGAGAGAGAGATCATTTCCACTGTGTTTTTCCCATATCCCGTATAAAACAAGCAAACTTCAATTCAATACTCGAGTTTTCAAAGATGGCAGCAGTAACCAAAATCCTGGAAGTGGTGTTCGACTCCTCCGCCGGCCCCAAGAGCATGCCCGTGCTCGCCTTCGGCACGGCAAACGACAACTTACAGCCTGACACGTTGAAAATGGTAATGGTTGAGGCCATCAAGCTCAGCTACAGGCATTTTGATACGGCTTCGATATATGGCTCTGAGCAGACTCTGGGCAAAGCCATTAAGGAAGCTCTCGAACTTGGCCTTGTTGATTCCAGAGACCAGCTCTTCATCACTTCAAAGCTATGGTGCAATGATGCTCACCCTGATGCGTCTTTGCTGCCAGGTTTATTGCCTCACTTCCCTCGTTGAAGCTCTGGTCCGCCCAGACCTGAGTGTTGCTCTGTTTTCAAGACTAAGCCAACATCAACTATAGCAATAGTGGTTGAACTTCCAAGTCAAGTGGAAGAAGATAAGGGGTATGATGATAACAATTTTCAGCATGGCAAAAAATGATGTGATGTTGCATGGTGAGCAGCAAATTCGTCATCATACAAGGCATGTGGAGGAAGGAGTTTTAAGTGGCAATGACCACCGACTAAAGCATGACACTGAAATTGAGGAGTTGTTAGATGGTGAATCACAGGCAGGAAATTAGCAAGGACGCGTGGATGAAGCAGCTGTGAATGGCAGTAACCACCGACTGGAGTCAACAGTTTTGGCAGTCGGTAATGTTCCACCGTTTTGAGGAAATCAAACAGGTGGGTTCTGCTACAATACACCCTGTACCAACCTCTGGCTACCAGAGACAGGTGTCGGTGGGGTTATTTTTTGCTCAAATGGAATTGGCTTTATTTTATGAATGTCGACATAGTCAGTGGACAGAGGAGGGACAAGCTTTCAGCTACCACACTGTGGAGGCATGAGAGAGATCAAGAAAAGCAAAAGATAGCCTTACAATAGTGTTCTCTCAACCCATTGTCTGCGAGAGCACATGGGAAAGCAAAAGCAAAGCAAACGCAGTGGAAAGCAAAAAGGAAAAGAGAAAAGAAAGAATTATGCTTTCTTTGGTTGAAAGCTGAAGCAAGTTGGTGTTTTCTTCAGTTTGTCGACGACCCACAGAAAAGCAATGGATAACAGGCACGCAAATCTGCAAAAGCAAGGAATAAACACCCCACCAGAATGATGTCATTTACTTTTTTTTTTTTTTACAGATGTATGATGTAATTTATTTTTCTTATCTTTTGGAAACATCTGTATAAACCCCATCATAGGGTAATTAAAAAAAACGGCAAAGCCCAAAATAAATGGGTTGGAATGTTGTGTAGAGGGCGAATGCCCATAAGCCCAAAATAGCTCCAAGCAAGCAATCAAAAGTACGCCCAGTACTCCACAATTATTCGACAATCTGCCGCTATTACCACCAACCAGGTGATCAAAAGTACGCCCAGTACTCCACAATTATTCGGCAACCTACCACTATTACCACCAACCAAGTAATCAAAAGTACGCCCAGTACTCCAAAATTATTCGACAACCTGCCGCTATTACCACCAACCAGGTGATCAAAAGTACGTCCAGTACTCCCAAATTATAAATGAGCATTACTTATGTCAATCATACATAAACATTTATGAGCATTACTTATATCAATCATACATAAACATTCATGAGCATCACTCATGTCAACATCCATGAGCATTACTCATGTCAACATCCATGAGCATCACTCATATCAATCAACATAAACATTCATGAGCATCACTTATGTCAATCAGCTTCAAAAATTCATTTCAAAAGCTTCAAAAGCTTCATTACAGGCTCTAGCTTCAAAAGCTTCATTTACAGAGCTCTAGTTTCAAAAGCTTCATTTACAAGAGCTCTTACTTCAAAAGCTTCAAAAGCTTCATTTACAAAAGCTCTAGCTTCAAAAGCTTCATTTACAGAGCTCCAGCTTCAAAGCTTCACTTGCAAAGCTTCACTTGCAAAGCTTCACCTGCAAAGCTCAAGTGCAGGGTATACAAATACCGCCTCCGAACAACCGCTACTTCGACCCATACACAGATTCAATTTGAAGTTTCCAGCCAACAGACTTTATTGACCGAAGACTTGGGAGACTACATTATGTACCATATATTGGGCCTCATGAAAAAATACTTGGGAGACTTAGCCCATTATTTATGTACTGAAGAGCGAGCCTTTATTTTATAAAAGGGACTCCCTTACCTTCATTAGAGAGCATTATCGTCAGTTGAGCAACCGCCTCGCCTCAAGCACCAACTCTAACCCATCATTTTTGTAAAGAGGAGCGAGCCCCTATTCTATAAAAGGGACTCCCTCACCTTCAAACGCCACAAGCCGAGCCAACCAAGGCAACATAAGCCACAAGCAGAGCAACCTCACAACATGTGCTACTTCTAGTTGAGCATCATTTCAGATTAAACACCACCTCATATCGAGCATCAGTTCAAGACAACATCTAGTTACTTCGGCCCACACATGGACTGAATTTCAAAGTCTCCAACCAAAAAACTCTCTTAACTGAAGACTTGGGGGACTACTGTTTATACCATATTTAGGGCCTCCGTATTTAGATCTTGTACAAATACTCATGGGACTTAAATGTCATTATGTAATAAAGGAAGGGGCAAATATGTAATAAGTCAGGAGCCCTTATTCTATAAAAGGACTCATCACCCTCACAATTAGAAGAGGCCAATTTCTTTAGGCCATGGAAGGGCTCTCTCACCCTTAGAAGCTCCCTCCATCTCTCTCCCTCACAAACAGAGAAATACAATAATCAGTGTGGACGTAGCCCAAACCTTGAGATGAACCACGATACATCTTGTGTTATTTACATTTCAAGCAGATTCATGGTCGGATTTAGGTTATTCCAAGACCTCCGGTTTTGTGCATTAACATTCATTATCCGGGACATCGAGACCCATGGTGCACCCCATCGTCATATTGATGTACGTATTTTCCTTACTCTAATAAATATCGTACTTCTCTCCAAAAAATAAAAAAAAAATCACCTACATATGATCGTAATAAAATAAAAATATTGATACCAAATTAAGTTGCTTATTGTGTGACTTAGTTGAACTCCCCATATAAAATTATCGATGTATTAAAAAAAAAAAAAAAAAAAACTCATCCCTCGTTTCCACGTTCTCTTTTTCTCTCCCTCTCTCTTCTTCTTATTTTTTTGAACAAAAAACCATCGATTCTAATTATATATTTTTTTTTTTTAAAAACAAAAATAAAAAATTACCCACACGTAAAAAGTGTGTGGACATAAGCTAGTTTCTTTATTAAAACCACTTACCTGCAAACAAAGAAAAAAGACAGATGGGACATAGAGGTTGACAACCATCAAATTTAGTGGCCCAACTACTTTTTTCCCGTTTGATTATTATGATCTATTAACGTGGTGGGTGCAATGTGGAAAGCAATTGTCGATTTTCAGAGAGAATTTAGCAACTCAAATCCAAACTTATCAAAACTAATGAGATAAAAACAAAGAGAGTTCGAAAAGGGGAAGCGCTTAACTTTTTATGTACTAAAAGAGGACAAGAGAGAGATCCGCTTTCACCCGAAAGGCCAGGAGAGAAGACTGGTTGGTGGAGAATAAAATTTAGAAAACTGCCTCAACCCCCATGAACGTTAGCTGAACACGATTGATGAGAAAACGTAACCAAACAAAACTGCAAGGACAGAAAAACCAAACAGCAAACGAAACCAAAACAAAAACCCAAAACATGGAGAACCAGGAGAGAAGATCATGACACAAGAAGAAGCAGCAGCGAGAAATACAATATTTGTTTTAGGGTTTTAATTTGAATTTTTTTTTCTGGTGAGAAGGAAAAGTTGCACGGAAAATATGGAGGAAATATTATTCAGGATGAATAGGGAGGTGATTGAAGATGTTGCGATAATAGGGGGGTTGGTAGGGTGCAATTTGTGTATGCTGGGAATGCTGTGTTGCTAAGCTATGTCATGTCTTTGGGGCTTGACCCTCTCACCATTGTTATCTTCTCTACCTTGTCCACTTTCATCGTCCTCTCCCCCATTGCCGCTTATTTTGAAAGGTACGTACGTATGCATTTCTCTCTCGTCAATTCAGAAGTAATTGTTTTTATTTAATTTCGAAATTTAAACAATTATAGCCGACAGAATCTAATTTGGGTTTCAGTAGATTTTGGTGTTTGATGATAGATGAATTTGTGTTTGCAGGCACACATGGCCGAAGAAAATCAGCTTGAAGTTCTTGATACAGTTGCTTTTGATCGCCTTTGGAGGGTATGAATTTCTAAAATCTTTTGTTTCTAACTAGTTATTATAATTTGCATAATTCCCTTGAAGGTTTCTGGAATTTTTTTTTTTTTTTTGTTGGAACAAACGATATTATCTATTCTAAGACCATCTCCAACCCATGGGATAAAACTTAAAATATAAGCTTTAAAATCCCCACAAACCATCTCCAAGGGTTGGAGATGGTCTAAGGGTGGGAAAATGGGTAATGCGATTCAAATTCGCGGAAACATTTTTAATATATTCACTTTTTTTTTTTTTTTTTTTTTATTCTGGGTTGGCTTTTTTTACCCTGATAATGTGGGAAGTGAAAGATCACTCTTCCTAAATTTGGAAGATGCAATCTAACTAGTGTTCTTCAATTTCACCGAACTCAATGCCTTTTTTTAAGGTTTTACTTCTATTATATTTCATTTGATTCATTCTTAAAACTTGGGCTGGAAATTGCTGTACATGCTTTTAATCCTATACAATACTTATCTTGACATAGTTATTGGTGAAAGAGCACATGCATTGTCATCCAAATTAAAAATCCTGCTAATTTACCACCAAAATTATATTTATAGTGTTAATTTACCGCCTCTTTTATTTTTCATTTGAAATTTTGTCAAAACTAATTATTTGTTATGCAAGTGATCATTTTTCATGCTTATTACTCTAAGACTCTTAGACAACTTGGGGTAAGTATTTCGTTAACTACAATTTGTTCTCGAGGAGAAGGAATATATGTCCCACGAGCTTTGTTCAATGGAATTTATACACTTGTTCGTCTATAGGTTTTAAGTGGCAAAGGTACCATTATAAAAATATATTACATGTGCTGCAGATGACACATTTTAACTAAATTTTTAGCAAAAACTAATGGAGGTGGTAAAATTCACACTAAAAATGAGTTTGTGTGGTAAATTGACAAGATTTTTAGTTTGGGTGTATTTGCACACACCCCTAATAGGTGAGATGATGTTTATATGCAAATTTCCCTTTGCAAACGCTGAAATTTAAGGGTTTAGAAAAACAGAAAGAATAGGAGAGTAGTTTTGTTAAATTAAACTAAATGAAGCTCACACTATGTGCGTGAGGATTTAAGGTGTTCGTGTGAGAGTGGGAGAAGTGTTTTCCTAAAACGTGGGATGAACATTTTAAATTTTAAAGAGGTGTGCAAACACGAATTCTAGATAGATTTTCCTAATTTTGTGCGTGTACCTAAATCCATACTATGAATTCTATTGATTGTACACAATAATTTTTTCCGTAGGAAATTAGAAGGTGAAAATTCCCCTTAAAATTGGGCACGTTGAATAACTATTTTATTTTTATTTTTAGTTTTTCTTTGTTTATATCACAAAGTTGTAATCTATCCTTGATTTGGGAATGAAATTCAGATGTTATGATAAAAAATAAAATAAAAAGAACTACTTACTTGGGTTTTCTGAATTTGGCTTAATTTTGGTACTTAAAGCAACAACCAAACAAGTTTTTAATTTTTAGTTTTTAAAACGGATCCTTAATGATGATTGTTTTGGTTCTGAGTCAATATAAATTAACTTTTCAACTGAAATACAGATTCTTTAAATTTAAATTGTTTTTACACTTACTTGTCCTTTTCCTCCTCTAATTTAAAAAATAAACAGAGAAAATTATGAAAGAAAAAGTGGTAGTAAAGTTATTTTCCTTTTTTCTTGTTTTGCAGGGTAACTTTGTTCCAGACATTATTTCTAAAGGGGATCCAGTTGACTTCACCAGCAATGGCAGCAGCCATGCCAAACCTTGCTCCTGGGTTTATTTTCGCCATCGCGTGTACTGTTAGGTATTTGATCTCATTTTTTTCTTTCTTTTTTTCTCAAGTAAAGAAGATGATGAAGAGAAGGAAGTGGCAAACTATTAGAATAGTTAACATAATGTATGGGGATAATCATTTGGACATTTTAGTCTCGACTTTGTTGGAAGAGATCATAACAAATCTCATGTACGGAAATTGTTGAATTAAACAAATACTAATATAATAATATTTATAATGGTTATGCAGATTGGAGAGAGTGAAAATTAGTTGCCTATACAGCAAAATGAAGATTCTAGGCACAATTCTGTGCGTGGTAGGAGCTATCACAATGAGCGTAATGCAAAGCACTGCCAGTCCTACCGAAGCAGAAGCACAGCCCCAGTTTCGAGCTCTTTCTCCTGAATCACTCTTTGATAAGCAAAAGATTATTGGTTGCTTGTATCTCCTTGCTGCTGTGTTTGTTTTGTCCAGCAATATTGTCTTGCAGGTGAACATACAACTAGTATTAATATAATTGTTAACTTTAATTGTTATCTGACTGTGAATCTGAATTCGATGATACGTGAGATCGGACAACATAAACATTTGCCAAGAACAGAAGATTATCATTGTTTAATATATTTTTCTTTTGTTTTTTATGGATTAGCATTTTTTATGATGTTTGACAGGCTACAACATTGGGTGATTTTCCTGCACCTATGTCCTTGTGCGCCATAACATCTTTGATAGGGGCGTTTCTAACTGCGGCTGTACAAATTATTCAAGATCATAAAATAGAAACTGGTTGGCCACTTGTGAGTGCAAAACAATTGATTGGCTTCTCTCTACTGGTAAGTACGCCTCTCTCTCTCTCGATACTTTGGTATGCGTTGAACGTATAATCAATCATAACCCTAGTCACTTTCTCCACCCACCATCACTCGGGCTAGTCCCAAGGGCTTAGTATATATGACACCGCTCTTTTAATCAAATATACACAGGGAGGTGTAGTAAGCGGAGCATCTGTGAGCTTCAACGGATGGGCAATGAAGAAAAGAGGGCCGGTTTTGGTTTCCATGTTTAGCCCCATCGGAACGGTTTGCTCGGTTGTTCTCTCAGTTATCACATTGGGAGATGCCATTAGCGTTGGAAGGTACTTTAGTTATCTAGTACTGAAATAGTTTTTCTCTTTTTCTCTTTTTTCTCTTTTTGTATTAATTTGTTGCTTTGGTCTCAATAATGCAGCTTTGCCGGTATGTGCCTCATGTTTACTGGGCTCTACTTCTTCCTATGGGCAAAGGGGAAGGAAGGCTACTTAGATGTGGGTGACTTAGAAAGTGAGTTTGATGCAGAGAAGCCTCTGTTAAGTTGATATCATTTGTTTGTGTATAGATAGGTTTTGGTTTCAGTTTAGACAGATAGGGATAAACAGAATTTGAAGGCATCGTTCTACGGGCTACAGACTAATCGCCTGTAAGTAATGTGAATGATTTTGATGCATAGTACTAGTGTTAATGTGACAACACAACGTGATGGAACAAGCTATGCGTGACCGAAAAATTCAGTAAAATTGTTATAAATTTGCTTAATAGTTAATGCTCAACATTGAACAGTAAGTGTTCCCTGCATTTTTAACTGTTTTTGCAGAATGATGAAGGGGCTACAAATACCACTTGTGATATTTTACTTTATAGAGATGGCGCTTGGGAAGAGTAAGGATTTGGGCAACTGAGAGTTTTAATTCCTAGGGCTTTCTTTTTCTTATATATTTGGGAAGGCTCATAAAATTTCTAACTACAAGTTGAACCCAAAAAGGACTCATTTGGCAGACATTCTTCTTGGAGGAGTTTCTAATTAACACTTCGACCACACTGTTAAATCATTTTTGAGTTATTGGGTCTAATATACTTAACCAAAAAACTACTTTGGGTTTGGGGTGTTTAGATGTGGTAAAACATTATACACAAAACCAAGTCTAGGCTGCTATGGAGGGATCAATATTGTATATGATGTTGTAAAACCATATATATTATAATTCATATTAACTACTACAATTCTTCTTTAAAATATTTTTGATGTGCTTTCTTTGCCAAAGAACTTTCTAGAATACGACCGCGCTCGTGACAAACAATCGTTGTGCAGAATTACCGTTAGTCACAATATGCAAGGTTCAAAATACGATTACATGGCTTGTTAATTATTATTAATTAGATGGATATGCGACACGATAAATATGATCGACAATGAATGTTAAATTGAGCATTGTAAGTAAAATTACACTCTAGCTGAAATATAATTCCAGTGAGAACTTTGCTTGGTGTTCTCCTAACCTAACCAGTTGAGGAAATGAGTGCTGAATTATTTGGCTTGATCAAGTTGGCTTACATACCAAGTTTTGGTTCCAAGGCCTACTTGTCAGGTTTTTGTGATTCTTAAAACTAGGTACTTGGAAAAACAGCTCACCAAAAGAAGATACATGAACAAGAAGCAGAATCCAATTAGAACTTATCGGTTCTACAATTATGTTAGCTTGTATGGGTGAGCGATTAATGCTAGCAGTCATCGTGATTTTAAACATTGTTAGATGTTGATCATCATCATGACCTCTGTTCGAAAATGAGACTGATTGTCACGAAGTGAATTGTCAAGGAAGGTGTCTACTTTTTCTATCTTCTGTTGGCCAACAAAGTGTCTATTTAAAGGAACTAAATCCAGTAACCATTTAAGAATGTGGTTTACTTTAGGTGTGGGAGGATAAGTGCTTTAACGTTGTAGCTCCTTGAGCTTTTACCTATTGTTATTGTAATTCATTCTTCCGAACTGGCTTATATGCGCAGTTAGATATGACATTGCGGAAAAAAAATGTGACAATGGCACACACCTCTACTAATTTAGGTAAAACTTTTGCAAAAATTCATAAATGTATATATTACTGCCCATATTGTTACTGATCAGAAGCACTTAAATTGGTAGAGGCTCAAAATTATTACTTGTTTCGAAAGCAACAAAACTAACCTGTATGGATGGTGGGAGTATTATGTCCAATTTTGAACTAACCGTTTTGTTGCTCATTGCAGGAATGCAAAGCAGTCTTCTGGCCCTTGCCGCAAATAGATTTTTCCAAGATCCGCTTGTTGGAGTGCCACCGGCAATATCTGTGAGTCAATATCTGGGCTTATATACCAATTGTGTTTTCTTTTTATACCAATTAAATCATGTCACTTAATCTTCACTATTTTAACTGTGATCTGCAGACTCTGATCATGTCTTTGATGGGCTTCTCCCTCGTCATGGTTTGGACCAAAAAGAAAGGACTATGACAAAGCACGTCTCAAATTTCGGAAGTTGGCTCTATGATTCTTGATGGCTTGCATATGGGTAGCTTTTTTTATCAAATCTTATGGAGAAACATATATGACAAGTTTCAATGATTTTGTACTATCAGAGTTTTTCATTTTATACAAACGATCGTAGGGGAGGGAATAAATTGAACTTAGGACTTTTGTTCTAGAGGTAAATGCTCTTAACTAGTTGATTACACCCGCCCACCCCTTCTGAAGCGCTAAAATTTGTATCAACTCATTTTGTATATTATTCCTAGTGTAATCATTATGAGTTTCCACATTCTGAATAAAATCAATCTCCCTCTCTCTCTCTCTCTCTCTCTCTCAATGTTAGTAAAAGCGTATGGGAAGAAAATTACAGCAACCATCAATCCAAAATCAAATGATCATTAATTGTTCGCTTCTTTACAAATGACAAATCCCAAATTATGTAATCAGAATCTGAACACTTGAATATTAATGCTGTAAAACTCAGTTCTTTCTCCTAACCATGAAAAAGTATCCCAAAGGTTCACCATTTTTTCAAACAGCAAACTCTCTGCAAATGCAGTTTCCTGGAAAAATCTTTCTAATCACTTTCATCAGTGTACAACTTTTGCATGATCACCTCCAACTCTACCTGAAAGTTCACACATCTGTCGTACTCAGACTCCAACTCACTCTTCAGCAGCTGAATCTCTTCTGCTTGTCCCAACTGACCAATAATGCTCTGCACATTCTCCATCTGCTCGGCCAAATTTCTTGCAATTTCCTGCAATTCCACCAGCCGTGCATTGCCGCGGTTGGAAGACTCAGCCGGAAAGCTGGAAGTAGAAGACGAGGAAGCTGGAATAACCAGGTCCAAAACAAACCTCTCCAAGTTATCCTGAAACTGCAAAATATCTTCCTTCTTGATCTCCAACTCACCCTTCAGCCTCTGAATCTCTACTTGATCCTGTGTGCTCACCTCAACTGCTCCCTTCAACAGATCAATAATCATCACCACAATCTCTAAATGCTTTGCCAACCTCGTTGCAAATATTGACAGCGGGGATTTGCCTCCGCCAGAAGACTCGGAGCTGGAAGTAGAAGACGACTCAGTGGAAAAAACCGGGTTGAAAACAAAGTCGTTCTCATTGAAATTCCATCCGCTAAACCCCATATTCTCAGCCCTTAGTTCATATTTTTCCTTGCCCAACAAGTCACCCAAACCCCTGTTTCTTTTCTTGAACCTCTCCTCAACGCTCTCCAAATGCGGAAGCACAGTCCCCACCAGAAAATCCTTGCCACTGTAGTTGTGGAAAAACGAGTGCTTCAGCAGCGTCTCCGCCGCAGGCCTCTTTTCCGGGTCCCGATCAAGGCAAGAACGCACCAAGTCCTTGAAATCCGCTGAGTACTTCTTGTTCTTGAAATCTTTGATGATGTTTTTGTAATCGGAAAACGGGAACCTGTTCTTGACCTTCAGAATCTGAGACTCTAAAAACGGCGGCAGGTCAGACACGGGAGGGCCGCCGAGAGCCAATTCCAGAGCCGTGATCCCAAATGCCCAGATATCCGCCTTGCATCCACCTCCGTTGGGCGCCACCCAATACGGCGTTGCAGAAGTGTCGTTTGTCCCAGTTGAATGATCGGCGCCGTAGAAAGAAAGAAAGCAGAGACCCCGAAATTGGCGCAGCTTAACAGACCCATCAGAGTCAACCAAGATGTTTCCGGGTTTGATGTTGCCTGGACTTGTTCCTGACTATGGAGATAGGACATGGCGTTTTAGCGTCTCTTCCAGGACAGCAGCAACGCAGGGCTCTGGTAATCCTTCCGGGAAAGCAGAGGAGGAGATTAGAGAGCCGAAGGCCATGAACGGCATAACCACCCAGAGACGGCGGTCGGCGGTGGTGAAGGAGCAATGGTCGCTGAGAATGTTGTGGTGGGAAAAGAGACAGAGTCTTGGTATCGCGTAGCTTGCTTTCGAAATCGGCCGCGGATTGATTGAGGTCAACGGACTTGATTGCGACGATTGCAGAGTTCATGGGGACGCAGACGGCCTTGTAGACGACGACGGCCTTGTCGCCAGAGCCGATTTCTTGGAGGTCTTTGTACGCGGCGGAGTCCAACGGGAATTGGACCTTTTGTGGGTTATCTTGGTGGGAGGAAGAAGTCGAAGAAGTCGCCATTGGAGACAACAAAGATGAAATCTTGAAGAACGAAAGTGGGTTACTTGGATTTCGGGGAAATGGGGTTTGATGGAGTTGATGAATCTAGGGTTTCTGCAATACTAATTCTTGTGAAAGGTTGAGGCTTTGGGAGGAAGACGACGATGCATGAGAATGTGTGGGTGTGTACTGCTCTGCTTTTATTTACTTATATAGTAAGAGAAGTTTCAACTTTTGCCCCTAGACGTCGTTAATTAGCAGAATCATCAACATTCTGTCGTTAGGCGATTTTGGTGATTAGGATTGGGTGAGGTTGGTTAAGATAGTAATACAGTTAGTTCGTTTTCAGTTATTTGCCATCTCAGCAATGCCTTGGGAGGCAAGGCATGATGCCCACATATGGCGCAAGCCCATCTCACTACCATATAAGTGACATGTGTCATATCCTCTGCTCATTTGATCCAATCTCGAATGGTTAGTCCTGTTGTGAGTGCCTCGTATAAATATTTCGAAAGGACTATGAGGATACGATATACGAACAAAATACGTATTGAGACCTGCAATTCCAATAACAAAACCAACCTACTAACCCATTGAAATCAATCATTCTCCAAGATGTAATTAAAAATCAAGTAAGTCCTATAAAATCATAAAAAAAAGTTGTTGGTAATACTAGGGAGACCAAGTTTGGAAAACCATATAATGCGGTGATTGAATTATTACTTAAGTGCAGATTAACGTGCTTATTTTCTGTTGGTAACACATCATATGGATATGATTTGCAAATTTGGTCTAAAAAATTGGTCTACCTAGTATTACTTTTTGTAAAATGTGAATTTGAATTTTAAACTGAAAAATAAACATAATTATAATTTTTTAATTATATTTGAAAATTTGTCACTGTGAGGCACAACTCTATCATCAATGGTAGGAACATTACTAGTATTTCCATAAGGATTATTAAGAAATTGAGAAATAATTCACAAAAGAGAGATAAAGTGCCCTCATGATATTGGCGAGGCCCACTTTCATTCCACGTGCAATTCAACCCTCGAGTAGACCTGAGCTGCTGACTACAACTTTTTCATGCTCTTTTACTCATGGCAAGGAAAAACTTCAAAAGAATTAAAGATAGGATTAATAACTAATCGCTTAGCACATAACGAGTACTTCATCTTTATTTGTCTTAATCCATAACTTAGTTTCATTGCTACCACGTAGCAATATAGACTAGTAATATTAAGTGAGAGGTCTTAAATTTGATTCTCTTAAATGATGAATTTGAACCAAATTACATACATATATATATATATATATCATTTTATTCAAAACTCCTCTTGAAAAAATAAAACTCCATCTTACTCGGTTCAGATAAAGAAATGTGATTGCCATAACCAAATATAAAACAAGAAATTGACAATAGAAAAAATGGGGAATGAGCCCAAATAGTTACACACTTTAATATAGATATAAATGCCACTTAATACTACGATTTAGTGTACTTATTTTTACTTATAATTAAGAGATCTTAGGTTCCTATTCAAAAATAACAAACTCGTAACAACTTTATTCTGTTATTCCTTAGTGTAAATATGTCATTATATATATTATAAAAAAATACAATTTACGTACACTTTAGCAATCTTTCTTCAATAATACTTATCATGACTTCATGAGTGGTATATGGAATAAACGGTTGAAACTAAAAGAAAATCTTAACAGTTAGAATAATCAAACCTTAACGGCTAAAACACACCCTGTAGCCCTTTGCCTTGTGTTTTTTTTCTTCGATTATTTTCTTTTGCCACTTAATACTAGGATACTATGATAGTCATATTCCTCCACATGGGCCTTAACGTTTCCAGCGTCGTTGAATGGTGAGAGAGAGACAACATTTCTCTCTCATCTCGTTGTGATCCATGCAAATGGGGTTTTGTGAACTTGTTCTAAAATTGCGTTTTCTTGTTAATTTTGATTGAATATTTCACACTAATGGTTGGTTGGTTTGGTTGTAAGGATTTCTGTTACCTCCTACTTGAACTGGTAGTATTTTGCAGTCGATGTAAGTCAGAAGTTAACCTCACAAAGCTGAAAGCTAATCGCTCATCTAGTCTGTCTCATTCTTCCAGGTCATCTTAAAATCTCAAAACATCTAAGCCGTCTAATCAAGGTTTAGCACAAAGACCGTCAGGAGTGTTTACTGTTTTGCAAATTAGGGTCGCCGCTTGAAGATCAGACGGCTTGACTTTGACAAGGGATTTTATGATGAATATTTCGTTGAATTCCAAGTGGGTGACACGTACGGCTGGTTCGGGTCGGTATCCCGGACTGAAACCCAAAGCCCAAATTCCAAACTAATAATTTTTGGGATGGAATTCAACAACCCAAAAACCGATCCAATTTTTTGGGATTCCTCAATTTCGGGATGCCCGAAAGTTTTTAGGGATTTTGGGCCGGTTCGGGATTGAGGCCCAATTTTATTTTATTTTATTCTTTTTTGCAGTTGAAGCTCAAATTGTTGGGCTTTTTTATTTTTTTGGATTTTGGAAAGAATAAAAGATGCCCACCTGTTTGTGATAGCTTAGATTACAACTACACATTACAATTTTTAAGTTTCATGAAGTCCAAATTAATTAGCCTCATTAGTCATTTAATCTCCAAGCTTCTGTAACCCAAGACCCTATTTTTTAGCCCCAAGAATCATAACCAATTGTGACGGTGCTACTGGTGGCGCCACAAAAAACATCCCTTCTATAACTGCAATTCTTTGCAACTTGAATCTCCAAACTGCAAGAAAAACAGAGTCTTCTCTCTCCACTCTTCAAATCCTCACTGGGTTTTTTGAATGTAAGCAAACATTCCCAAACCCAGAAACCCAGAAAACCCCCAGCCCATTCGTTTTAGGAAAACCCTAAATCACGTTTGCCAAAGAACTTTCTAGAATACGACCGTGCTCATGACAAACAATCGTTGTGCAGAATTACCGTTAGTCACAATATGCAATGTTCAAAATACGATTACATGGCTTGTTAATTATTATTAATTAGATGGATATGCGACACGATAAATATGATCGACAATGAATGTTAAATTGAGCATTGTAAGTAAAATTACACTCTAGCTGAAATATAATTCCTGTCAGAACTTTGCTTGGTGTTCTCCTAACCGAACCAGTTGAGGAAATGAGTGCTGAATTATTTGGCTTGATCAAGTTGGAGGTAAGGCTAGCTGACATTCACCTCTCCCAGACCCTGCGTAAAGCGGAAGCCTTGTGCACTGGGTACGACCTTTTATCAAGTTGGCTTACATACCAAGTTTTGGTTCCAAGGCCTACTTGTCAGGTTTGTGTGATTCTTAAAACTAGGTACTTTGAAAAACAGCTCACCAAAAGAAGATACATGAACAAGAAGCAGAATCCAGTTAGAACTCGTTGGTTCCACAATTATGTTAGCTTGTATGGGTGAGCGATTAATGCTAGCAGTCATCGTGATTTTAAACATTGTTAGATGTTGATCATCATCAAGACCTCTGTTCGAAAATGAGACTGATTGTCACGAAGTGAATTGTCAAGGAAGGTGTCTACTTTTTCTATCTTCTGTTGGCCAACAAAGTGTCTATTTAAAGGAACTAAATCCAGTAACCATTTAAGAATGTGGTTTACTTTAGGTGTGGGAGGATAAGTGCTTTAACGTTGTAGCTCCTTGAGCTTTTTACCTATTGTTATTGTAATTCCTTCTTCCTAAGTGGCTTATATGCGCAGTTAGATATGACATTGCGGAAAAAAACACTGTGACAATGGCACACACCTCTACTAATTTAGGTAAAACAAGCAGCTAAACCCGCGCGATGCCGCGGGTTACAAAACATCTCTGATCAACATTGAATGGGGTTGATAATGCCAAAATAGCCCCTTGAATATGTAACAAAGGTGATGTCCATCAAGCCTTTGAAAAGATGCAGTATACTGCATAAACATGGAGTAATGAGTGACTACAAATCTGTCAATTTTGGATTAAGGCCTTTTTTTCATATAATGCACGGTAATGAACAAACAACACCTCTATTCCTATTTTGGATTAAGACATTCATTCAGATTACAAAGTGCTGCTTCCGCTTAAAGCTTTCTCTCCTCCCTCGTTTCTATGACTAAAGAACTTTCACGCCCATGCATTATTTTTTCTGGTTCTGCAGGTTTATGGGAATTGGGATATGCAATGGCCTCCGGACTCTCTAAATTTCCTCTAAAAAAACAATAACAAAATTTTTAAAAAAAAAAAACTTAAATATTTTCCCTCTCTTCCTCTCCCACTTCGTCTTCCTTCTGCCCGATGAAAACCAGAAGCACAGTGCTTCCCAAAATTCCAGTTGTTTCACTCCTGTCTTCCCCAAATTTACAGGTGTGTTTTAATTTTCTGTAATCTGATTAGAAATTATTAAAGATGATTACATGAACCACCGAATTCACCACCAAATTTCAACAAAGAAGTTACAAAGCACAAAAAAACAAAAAAAAACAAAAACAAAAACAAAAAAAATTCAAATATTTGGCTTTTGGGTAGTTGAGAAGAAGTGAGATTTAATTACCTGTCAAAGGCTAAATTGGGAGCACGATGGCCCGGCGAGGAGATTGAACAGATGAGGAAGCAAAGATCGAACAGATCTCACGAAGCGGAATTGAAATCGCCAATCGATTTCTGGGTTAAAATAAACCAGAAGGGTCCGGAAGAGTGAAAACAAAAAGAAGGGAGCAAGATGACCAACACGTGTGAAACATGGCACAAGTGAAATTAAACAAATCAAGCAGTGTTTTAAGGCGTTTTTCTCTTTTAGTATCGATTGAATTTTTGCAAAAATTCATAAATGTATATATTACTGCCCATATTGTTACTGAACAGAAGCACTTAAATTGGTAGAGGCTCAAAATTATTACTTGTTTCCAAAGCAACAAAACTAACCTGTATGGATGGTGGGAGTATTATGTCCAATTTTGAACTAACTCATTGCAGGAATGCAAAGCAGTC